ATTTCTCACTTTCTATCTCTCTGTCCTTGTCTTTCTGGTGAGCGCACGTCCTCTATAGCAAAAATCTCTTTAAAAATAGTAATAATGTTAATAAATTAATATTCTAATACTAGCCAGCATTGGGGAGTAAACATTTGCCAGAAACACTATTATTTCTTATATTTAATTTCCCATTGCTTTCCCACAGCTTGCCAGATGTGTAATGTCAGTAACAAAAATTAATGTGGAATAACTGTACTAGTCTTAAACCTAGCAGAGAAGTATCATCCTCAAAGGAAACATATTTCTAAAAGCATTCTGTGTGTCTGTATGATAAAATCTACCATACTAATTTAAAACATTTTGTAGCTAATATTGTCATTCAAATATTTTTTGTTTGGTTGTTGTTGATTTCGGAGATGGGGGCTATGTTGGCAAAAAATTAATCCCAATGTTGGATTTGTGAATGGATTCTTAGATATAACACCAAAAGTACAAGCAATAAAAGAGAAAAATAAATTGGATTTTGTGAACATCGAAAACTTGTGTGTTTTAAAGGACACTATCAAGAAAAGCTGATTTGTATCATAATGTATCTTATGAGGACTTAGTATTCAGAATATACTGAATAAGTAACTCTTACAATGTAACAACCAGAAACCAAACAACCCAATTTTAAAAGTGGGCATAAAACTTGTATAGCCATTTCCCTAAAGAGTATACAAATGGCCAAAATGTACATGAAGAGACACAGGGGCTTGAACAGATATTCTTATAGTCATATTTACATGAGCATTATTCACAACAGCCAAAAGGCAAAAACAAATGAAGTATCTATTAACTGACAGACAAAATGTATTATATATACAATGGAATATTATTCAGTCTAAAAAAAGATACTCTTCCACATACTAATGACATGAATGCACCTTGAAAACATTATGCTAAGAGAAATAATCTAGTCACAGAAGGATTAAGAAGACTCACAGTATGAGTCTTTATGAGGTACCTAGAATAGTTAAATTCACAGAAACAAAAACAGAAGTAGAATGGTGGTTGCTGAAGGCTGAGGAGAGGAGGGAGAATGGAGAGCTACTGTTTAAGCAGTTTAGTTTTGCAAGACAAAAAAATGTTTTGGAGAGGGGCCAGCAGATGGTGTGATGGTTAAGGCACTAGACTCCCACATGACCAACTGTGATTCAAGTCCCAGACATGGGGCTTGAAAAAAATCATGCCAAGCACATGCACATGCACTCTCAAAATCTCAGAGGGAGAATGGAGAAGAGATTGCGGTGTGGCCACAGCTTCCCTGGAGGATGATTTCTCACTTTCCCTCTCTCTGCCTCTCTCTTTCTCTCCTCTCTGGCGAGCACACACACCCTATGACAAGAAAGCTTAAAAAAAAGTGTTGGAGAGGGATGATGATAATGGTTGCCCAACAATATGTGTGTACTTATGTACTTAATGCCATCAAACTGTACAAGTAAGAATGGTTAAAACGCTAAGTTTCATAGTCGGCCTATTTTACCACCATTTTTTTTAATGTTTTTTCCTAATGGAAAAAGAGTAGAATTTCTCCAATGCAAATATATAATTGCCAAGAAAAGATTATCAGTACAGGAAGCGCAGGGCAAGATTATCAATATAATTTAATCATTACAATAATGCAAATAAAAACCAAACTAAGAAACCACTTTATAACCACTAGGATGGCGTCAATTTTTAAAACAAACGAAACATAAAATAAAAAGTGTTGGCAAGGATATGGAAAAATTGCAATCCTCTACACTGCTAGTGGAATATAAAAATGGTATAACCACTTTGAAAAACAATTTGGCAGTTCCTCAAAAAGTTAAACACAGACTCACCACATGACTCAGCAATGCCTAGGTTTATATAGGAAAAAAAAAAAAACCTAGCAAGTATTCAAACAAAGACTTAAACCCTAATATTCATAGCAACACTATTCATAATTGGCGAAAAGGTTGAAAAAATTTCAGATGTCCATCAATGAATAAATAGGGGGAAAAAGTGGTATAGACCTGGCCATGGTTGTGCAGGCAGTGGGTACCACTACATGATGCTGGAGCTACACAGGAAGGCAGTGGCTCTAATCCCTGAGTGTGAACATGCTAGGTCTACCCCGAGGCACACCTCAGATCCGGGCTGGCTGATAGGCTGGGAGGGAACTGAGCCACCATTAGACCTCATTTGAGGGTTCCTATCTCTATATATCTTAAGAAATAAATGAACATTTTAAAAAACCTGAATATACATTTAATACAATATTAATCCGTCATAAAAAGGAAAAAAGTACTGGTACACACTACAACGAAAATGAATATCAGAAATACTATGCAGTCTCCAGGAAAGTCATGACACATTTTTGCATAGGAAAGCATAGAAAAATATGTCATGACTTCCCCAGCAATCTAATATGCTATGTGAAAGAAGCCAATCACAGGAAGTCACATATTGTATGATTCTAGTTATATGAATTACCCCAAAATAAGTAAATTCATAGACAGAATGCAGATTGGTGCCTCCCATAGGCTCGACTGCTACATAAGTACGAAGTTTCCTTTTGGAGTGATTAAAACAGTTATAAACAAGATATAGGTAGTGGTTGCACAATACTGTAAATGTACTAAATGCCACTGAATTATACACTTAAAATAGTTATCTTCATGTTATATGGATTGCACCTCCATTTTTTAAAAAATAGTACTCTATAACTGGTGTTATGTTTAAAGACCTTAAATAAATACCAACAGATAGATACAAAGACAATTGTAGCACAAAAGCCGGATGGGCTGTTACATACAGGTGTTACAGCAAGAGGCAAAGAATACATAGAATCATTCTCATAGAAGTAAAATAAACCATACATAATCATAGATTAAATATATGACGGTTTACAGAAACATACAAATTGTAATGTGAATGACAACTTTTTTTTTCTGAGAGGTTTTTGCTATAGGGCACATGTTCTCGCCAGACAGAAAGAGAGACAGAAAGCGAGAAATCACCCCCAGGGGGGATGGCCATGCCACAATCCCTTCTCCTCCATTCTCCTCTCGGGATCTTGGGTACGCACACACATGCGCCTGGTGTGAGCTTAAGCTGCCGGGTCCAGGGCTCGAACCGCGGTCGACTACGTGGGAGTCCAGCGACATAGCCTTTATGCTAACTGCTGGTCACGTGAATGAAAACTTAAGTTATATTTTTCCCTTAAAATGGTGAAAAGAATATATTAAAATATATTATAATTCTCTAGACATAAATTTTTTTCTCCATTGAAATTCCTGGGTATGAAAAATTCGGTTGTAAAAATCAGAATGACTCCAAACTCTTGTCCTTTAACTTAATAAGCTTAAAATAACAAAATACTGTGACTTCATTCGAAGCAGTCTAAATTTTCTTCCCTCTGTGCCCCTGACTACAGTGCATTATGTATTCCCCAGATGCAGTACGAAGCCATAGCTTTCGGCTAAGTTACTGAATCTTTCTTTTCCTTTCTAATATAACTTCTGCACTAAGAGTTAAGAAGATGACTTTTACCAGTGTTATGACTTTGGATATTTTACTAAACTTCTTTACCATTTGTGTCCACATGTAAAATGGGGATAAAAGTAATACCCGCCACACAGCTCATGTGACAGTGATATAAGATAATGAATATGAGCACAGTGCCTAGAATACAGAAAATACTGTCATCCAATCCATCTGCATTATCCTATCCTACAAAAATGTCATTCATCTGTTTAGTGAGCACCAAACTTACACCTGCCTGACTGATTGTGTAGCCGCAGAGGCCAAATCAATTCGTTGTTCCCCAAATGTCTCTATCCTGAGCGCGCATCACGGTCACTTGGGAAACTTTTAAAAAGAACCATTGCCCAAGATTAACCCTATGCTCTCAAGCCAGACATTGATTTCATTGTTTCTGAGAAACGATTAAATGAAATTGTACTATCAAATTCTGCTCAAAAAGAAAATTAAGAGAAAGGCCAAATATTCTTTAAAAAGTAGGAGAAATAAGCAGTAAGATAGAGGACAATGGAGGAAAGTAGTTTAGTCTGCAAAAAATGTGATGACTATCCCTAGCATATGTAATACTCTTTTTATGTGCTTCAAATTTTAAGGCATATATTACACATAGATTTCATTTGATCTTCATAGCAAGTCAGCGAGATTCTATAATCTTCCTTTCACATATAAGGAAAATGAAGCACTGCGGGGTTAAGTTAATTAGCCAAGGTCAAAATGTAAACAGTGACAGAGTTGGGATTTTATACCAACATTGACTAAGTTTAAACCCATTCTTTTAAACTACACTACAACTCAGGTGTCCCCCTGCCACCAAGAAAAAAAGAAAAACAAACAAAAAACCTTACCTGAGGCATATACTTTTATCCTTTAATTATTTCATGCTTTCTTTTTTTTTTTTTTTTTTAGAGGTTTTTGCTATAGGGCACCTGCGCTCACCAGAAAGACAGAGAGAGACAGAGAGATAGAAAGCGAGAAATCACCCCCTCAGGGGTGATGGCCACGCCACAATCCATTCTCCTCCTCCATTCTCCTCTCGGAATCTTGGGCACGCACGCACACGTGCCTGGCGTGAGTTTAAGCCACCAGGTCCCGGGCTTGAACCGCAGAAGGCTACATGGGTGTTCAGCGACATAGCCATTACGCTAACTGCTGGTCCCATACCCTTTAATTATTTATTTCTGACATGAACTCTAACTTATTAAACAAACTGAGCAGTGATTTTTTTTGAAGAGTGAGATTATAATTTTTACTTATTGACATTTTATATATTTCCTATAATAAATATGTGCTGATTTTGAAATTAGAAAAAAATCATCATTTTAAACCAAGTGTGTCTATATATTACCTTCCAGAATACTGAAACTGACCGGGAAAATATTTCTTTAGTGATGTATGTTCTCTACAAGAGGCACTTCTTTCTTTACTTTTGCTTAGAAAAAATACACTAAAGCAAAACAAAAAGCACTTACCTGTACATTGCCCTCCATTGGTTGGATCTCCATAGTACCCTGGCATACAGTCTTGACACTGTTTTCCTGTGGTGAGATTTTTACACTGTTCACACACATTATTATTGATGCAAGTGCTGTGTCCATTACACTGGCAAGCTAAAGAAAACAGTAAAAAGTATTAAAAATGTCTGCATAATAATGTCAAGTATAATGGCTATCATGACAAAGAAACAATTTTGAAAATGCAAATTATAACAAAATCTGAAAGGCATTTCCCAAGTTTTCTTAATGTGTAAAAACATGTGGCTCAAAGTTTTAATACTAGAAATTGCACACAATAAAATGTGTTGAAAGTATGTCTTATGCTATCTAAAATGCAGGGGTTAATGATAAAATGAAACACGGAAGTTTTAGCTAAGGAGAAAATAATTTTTAACATATTTTCTAAAGAGTCACGTGAATGTTATTTCTATTTGTATAAACATGACGCTGAATAATATAGTTTTGACAAGAGGATATTAAAATGTATCTTAATATTAGTTATATACAGTAAAAAATATAGAAAATTGTGTGGCAATAGAGCTTTATTACAATAAATTGGTAAAATGAGCAAAAACAGCATTTTTAAATTAATTTGTATTAATGTATATTTTCTTTGGACAAGAAGAGTTTCAAGGCTTAACTCAAATTCCATTTGAATTAGAACTAAACAGACTCAGACTTAAAGCACTGGTCCTTTTTATATATTCTTAAATGAAACTACTTTTAATATGTCTTGATATTACAGCAAAATCCAAGAATTTCAGAATACATATCAAGTTCATATATAAAAGTCCATGTTCTTAGTGTCTCTTTGGAACATAAAACTTAGTACAGTAACTGCTTACCCAAACATTACCATCATTTTCACTGTAGTAATCACTTTCACCACTAAAACTAATATAGCAATTAGCATGTAACTGAGCTCTCTCATACTCTTATCTACAGAAACTAATGTTCAGATACTACCAGTTATTTGTAGCTGGCACCTAGTCGAATTAGTTAGCATACAAATTGTATCTGGTTTTTGTTTTTGTTTTTGTATTGTTTTAGAGATTTTTGCTATCAGGCACATGCGCTTGGAAAGACAGAAAAATGAAAGGAAGAAATCATCCCCTGGAGGGAGGCCACACCTCAGTCCCTTCTCCTTCACTCTCCTCTCAGGATTTTGGGCACGCGCACACACTCACTGTGAGTTTTAAGCCCCCAGGTCTGGGACTCAAACCGCACTAGACTACATGGGAGACCAGTAACGTAACCATTATACTATCTGCTGGGCCCCAAATTATATCTGTTTTTAAAAATTATAAATTCCACCCCATGGCCCGAAAGAATACCAAATGGTACACAAGAATTATACCATTTAATCCTCAGAACAATGCTATTTTTAGTGCCATTTCTAAGAAAAGGAGGCCTGAGGTAAGCTTCCTTTTACCTTTTATCATTACATAATAATGATATTTCACTCCAAAAGCCAGACAGTAAATGTCACATAAAACTGCCTCTTTGGTGGAAAGTTGAAAGTGAAAGAGATTTCCTAAGGGACTAGAAAATCATCAAATTAATTAAGATCGATGAATGAAGAAATATATATGCAGGGAACCAGCAGTTTGCGTAATGGCTTATGTCGCTGGACTCTCACGTAGTCGACCACAGTTCGCCTCCTAGACCCGGTGGCTTAAAACTCACGCCGGGAGCATGTGCGTGCCTGCCCAAGATCCCGAGAGGAGAATGGAGGAGAAGGGATTGCGGCATGACCATCCACCCTGGGGGGTGATTTCTCGCTTTCTGTCTACACACACACACACACACACAACTTTATTGTAACATAGAATTAAAATGACATGGAGTCATGAAAAATATTAAATAACCATCGTCCTCTTTATGAAATAAGAAATTTTATTATAATATAGTTTTCAAACGTTATAGTACATTATGAGACAATTAGGAAAAAATTAACAAGAAAAATGTTCATGATAAATTATATAAAACAAGATACAAATATTGTATTTAGAATCATCACAGTTTTGTTTTAAAATATATAAGTATGCCTAGGATGATTTTTTTACTCTATTAAGATTTTTCCACATCATCAATTTTCTTTCTTTATTTTTCTGTCAGATTTTGACAGAAGGGGTGCATGCACTTGCCAGAGAGACAGAGACAGAGAGTGAGCGAGAAGGAAAGTGAGACAGCACCCACCCCATATGGGGATTGGTCATGCTGCAATCTGTTCTCTTCCATCTCTCTCCCCTGTTGGGATTTTTGGGCACACATGGACATACATCCAGAGTGCTTTTCAAGCCACCGGGACTGGGACTCAGGACAGTCAGGCATGTGGGATCCGGTCACCTCGACCACCACAGCACAGGCCGGCACCTCATTGATTTCTTACAACATAGTCATGTTACTTTCATAATTAGAAACAATTACGTTATTAAAAACTTTTTTAACATTATACTTAACAGGTTATTATTTCAGAGGAAATTTACATAATACCACTAATTCTCTCAGGTAAAACCAAAATCTATTGAGTGTCCACCATACGTACATTATTACCTGAAGATTCCAAATAAGAAATGAGATACTAGAACTACTTTATGAAGTTTCTGGCCATGTGGAGGACTAATCAGAAAAAGAAATGTTTTTAACTTCAAAAGAAGATGATTAAATTCAGTACTTTTGTCTATATCCTCCCCACAGATTACCACTGATATAATAAGAAAATTTGCCAGCAACAATAGTAATTGGGGTATGGTAACAGCTAAACATACAAAAACTATTAGGTCATCAGAAAAATCATGATGCATTTTTCTACATTTTTCTATGCAAAAATGCATCATGACTTTCTCGACAACCATGTAGAAAGCTATAACCTACAACACCTCTCAAAATTAAAAAAGGACTCCTGGCATAACGTCACTCAAACCTCCCTCCTCAGTGAGAGGAACTCTGAAGACAAGGACGGGTTATGGGACAGCTGAGAAGTACCTCACTGGTATACCTCCCCACAGCCACGGGACAGTGTGATATAGGCAAGTGCAATGCAGGGGATATACCAAGCAGAAAGCTAATGTAATTTAGACCTAGCTACAGGAAGATTCACAAGCAAATCAAGGCCAGTCATCGTCATAGTATACCACGGACAATGGTACCTACGGCAGAGAAAACATGCTACAGAAGGTGAGACCCCAGCATAATGGCTGTTTCAAACACAAACAAGAAAAGGATACTCTACTAAACCTACATTTATATTTTATTCCCCCACTGCTATCAGAGTACAGGGTCAATGAATAATTAAATATTAGCTTGCATCTAACAGATCTTCCAGTATAGGTTAACTTTCACTTGATAGGTTCTCATATCAACCTAGCTGTGGAACATGAATAAAACTAAGAGAAGCCATCCATTTTATTCTGTCTAAATTATAAAACAAGCCCAGATGGGCCCTCATTTACAAACACAGAAACAAACAAAAAAATAAAAATAAGACATAATGGCAAATTCAACACTTGATATGCAAATAATGTACACAGTTTTGAAGAACATGTGCTCTGTAAAACAGATGCACGACATTTCAAAATATCTTCTCTACATTCTTAATAAATATCAAAAATATACACACACAGAAATTGAAGGCAGAAATTTATTCAAAATGTTTTTAATACACAGCCTACCTTAAAGGAAAAGAAAATTATCAGATGTTAGAAATGAAGCAGAAATTCAAAATAAGAATAAAACAAAGTTTGAGCCAGTGGCAAGATTTTACTACACACAGGAGAAACACGCAAATCAGAAGGCAGAGTTTCAAAATTCAGCAAGGCCAGGAGATGATAATCACTGGCAAGCTATCCTGCACCATGTTCATAAAGGGAAGCCATCAATTGTAGTACTGTCTATGAAAAAATACTAAAACACATCACAAGCCCCCAAATCAGAAAAGAACCTTATGTCCACTGGGGTATGTGTACGAAAGATAAAAGGCACTTGTGAGCACTTAAATCCTATGCCAGGCATATATGTTGGGTTGAAATTCACATTATCCATATGCTGGAGAAATCTCGACATCAAATGTTAATACAAAACCTGTTTGGAAAAGATCTTGCAAAAGCAGATGTATGTAAAACATTCCTCAATACACTTCCACAACTCAGGTTATATGAATAAGACCACAGAACAAGGACTGAAGAAATATTTTTTTCTGTAAAGAACTAGACAGGGGAACAGCAGATCAGCATAATCATTAAAGTCACTGGACTCCTACGTAGTCAACCATGGTTTGAGATCTGGAAGAGATGGCTTAACATTCATGCTGGATTCATGTGTGCCCAAAATCCCAACAGGAGACTAGAGGAGAAGGGAGTGAGATGTGGCCATCCATCCAGTGAGTGATCTCTCACATTCTGTCTCTCTAGCAAGCGCACACACCCTATAGCAAAAATCTCTCTAAAAAAATAAATAAGTAAGAACTTACTTTTGGATTGGCTCCATGGCACAGCAGTCATGTGGTGCTCAAGAGAAACTGGATCCTACGTGGTGAGTGTGGTTTGAGTCCCTGTCCTAGGATTCACACAAGTATCCAACACTCAACAGGCAAGAGAACTGGAGGAAGGGGACTGCAGCATGATCAGACCCTGAGGAGGCTCATCACGCTCTCTTTCTCCCTTTTTCTTTCTCCTTCTCTCGCTCTCTGAATGGACCATGGAAATTGCTGATCTCTACCTCTCTCTGACACGCTCTCGTTTTCGCTCTCACATAGATGCCTATGCACAATATCATGAAGTTAAAAAAGAAAACGCCAGTATCGTTAGAAACAATGATCGTCAGTAGTCAACGGGATATATATTAGAAACACTCAGAGAAAAACTGCCAACTGGGAATCCTCTGTCTTGTTTAAATGTACATATTTGTGAACATAATAGAGTTGAGAGAATGCACGGCTTACCGGCCTGCCTTACAAGAAATCGTAAAGGAAGTGCACTGGGAAAAGCGAGTAACACCAAATAGTACTTCAACTCCATAAATAAATAGAAAGAGCACTAGTAATGGTAAGTATGCAATAATGAAACACAGTAAAGATGTATATTTCTTTGTTTTTCTGTTACCTGATCTTGTTT